CGCTAGAACATGGAAAGAAACACCGCCATGATTATTGTGTTTTGTGCATGTCGAGAGTAGTCAACATCGACTACTCTCAACATGCACAAAAGACAATTATAATCATGGCGGTGTATCTTTCCATGTTCTAGCGGAAGATTCACTCTCGTTTTGCACACTTTGAGAGTGAGAGAGAGAGAGCCTGGCTCCACTACTCTCGAATGTGCAAAACGAGAGTGAACCTTTTGCTGGAACACATGATTTTTTCTCTACTGTGCACACATCAACACACACACACACACACACACACACACACACACACACACACACACACACACACACAGAGTCGCCAAGCTGTGCGGGGTGCACCAAGCAGCCCACCGGCTGTTGTGCCATTGCTATCGTGAAGACAAAAATCCTGGCGGTGTATCTTTCCATGTTCTAGCCGAAGATTCACTCTCGTGTTGCACATTTCGAGCGTAGCAGAGGGACCATTTTTTTTTCTTTGTTTTTCTTTTTTTCCCCCTATAATAGAGTATCCTGTAATTCTCTCATTGCTTTTGTGCGTTTCGTGTAATTTTTTTTTTTGTCTTCTCTTTTCTGTGTTCTTCTGCAACCAGGTACGGAAAGCTAGTGCCCAGCTTAAGCCTCAGCAAGGCTCGACATACCGGTCGGCCAAGACTCGGACTGGATAGCTGGCCAAGTACTGGTGGTTTAACAAACACAGTTTTGTTCAACTTCCCACATAAATGTGCAGATATGTCCCCAAACCAAAAACAGTTCTGGGTCTGGGACATCCTCAGGTCCCTTGAGGAAATCCCAGGCACAGAACCAGCAGTGACATATCACAAACTAGCGCGCATGCAGCAGGCCTCTATCTGTCAGGGCCTATTCGGCTATTTGTCTGTTCGGCCTGTGGGACCAAGCCATGGCCTGACCTCACAGGCCGTGTGCTGTTCCAGCCCAGTCTAGTCCAGTCTAGTCAATCCGCTGGGGGTATACCCCAGTTGTTGTCTGTTTTTCGGATCATTCTTCATTCTGCACTTTTGGAGTACGTGCGTGTTGAGTCCACATCGGAGCTGCGCTGTCCCTTCCAGCTCCATCTCCATGTCCTCCCCCTCAACCCTTCGTCTTGATCCTGACGGACTGCCACCCGGCGGGTCCGTCACACTGGTATCAGAGCGGGAACGTTCCCTGCTCCCACCCACCACAGCCTGATATACATTGTAAAACCTGACAACAGGTTTTCACGTGTTTTTGGCCATTTTCAGAGAGAAACAACGGGAAACAGCGGAGAGAAATGCAACAGCAAGGGAGCGACAGGTGGCGAGAAAAGAGAGAATGCCGCCACAACGCAGGCGCTTGCAAGGCCAAGGCTGCCGCACACGCACGCGCCACGCTGCCTCGCCCTGCCCCGCTCCCGAATTATACGCGCCACGCTGCCTCGCCCTGCCCCGCTCCCGAATTATAGTTATCAAGATCTGGGTTGCATACTGCTGCCAGGGTTTGAACCTGGGCAGCTAGCAGCCATGCGAGTGCGTAGTCAACACCTTAACCAGGGTTGTCGAGCCCCAGCCCCGAGGCCCCGACGGGGGTCCGCGGGTCCAAGGGTGGGCACTCAAAAAAAAAAAAAAAAAGTGGGGGGTGCGCAGCGAGAGCGCACACCCCGTGGGCTAAGCCCCAAAAATGGGTTTTGGTGCCCCACCCCGGATCCCCCTCGGGGCCACACCCACCATTGGGGGGACCGAGGCAGCTGCGGGTGCGGGGCCGAGGACGGGGCCAACAGGCGGGGGCGGGGTTGAGTGCTGGCAGAGGCGGGGG